TCCACCTAAAGAAACTGTAGCTCAGCCACCAGTGCATCATGAGGGTCAAAATCAACCTCCACTATCACCCAGTGTCACAAATCAACCTTTAGACCTGGCACTTACCATTACTACAGAACCTACTACAGAGGCTGAGCATCCTGCAGACCTGAGCAAGACTACAGCTCCATCTCCAAACCTGACTCCAGTCACAACTCAACATCTGGACCTGGGACTCACCATAACTCCAGAAACCAGCAGTATGGTGACTGAACCCTCTACAGACATGCAGGAGACCTCCAGTCAACCTCCCACGGAGGGTGTAACCCAATCTCCAATACATCAAGAGGTGACAGTTCCAACACTGGGTCATAATCAAGCTCAATATCCAACATTGCCTCACATCACAGTTCAACCTTTGGACACAGTGCTTACCATAAATGCAAAGCGTACCAGGAAGGCTGACCATTCTACAGCCCTGAAGAAGACTACAGATCTACATCCAGGCCAGGTTCAGACTCAGCACTCAACCCTAACTGAAGTCACAGATCAACCCCTGAATGCGGCTGCCACCATAAATGTCTGTGAGCTCTGCACCTGCAAAGATGAGACACTTTCATGCACTGGCCTCAGCCCAGTGCAGAAGCTTCACAGAGTTCCTGTACCAGAGCCCAACAGCTACAACGGCACCTTCAGCATGTTGTAAGAATCTCCCTTCCTCATGGTTCCCTACAGCCTGCCTGTCTCAGCAGCTTTTCCCCAAGATCTTCTGAGCCCTCCTCAATCCCCACCTTATGTTGACTGTGTGTGTGTGTGTTGGCAGGAAGAGTAGGACAGTGAGAGAGAGACAGAGAGAAAGGTCTTCCTTTTTCTGTTGGTTCACCCCCCAAGTGGCTGCTTTGCCTGTGAGATTTCCTTATCCTCCTTCTCTTCTTAGTCTTGTGTGCCTTCTACAGTCTCATATGTGATTGCCCTTACTCTTTTTCCTGATTTGTTGACTTCCGCCATATTATTACCTCAATGCTTTACTCCCATTTTTTTTTTTTTTGGACAGGCAGAGTGGACAGTGAGAGAGAGAGACAAAGAGAAAGGTCTTCCTTTGCCGTTGGTTCACCCTCCAATGGCCACTGCGGCCGGCGCGCCGCGCTGATCCGATGACAGGAGCCAGGTACTTATCCTGGTCTCCCATGGGGTGCAGGGCCCAAGCACCTGGGCCATCCTCCACTGCACTCCCTGCCACAGCAGAGAGCTGGCCTGGAAGAGGGGCAACCGGGACAGAATCTGGCGCCCCGACCAGGACTAGAACCCGGTGTGCCGGCGCCGAAAGGTGGAGGATTAGCCTAGTGAGCTGTGGCGCCAGCCTACTCCCACTCTTAAACACAGCCCTCATCCCAACTTATTAGAGAAGACACAACAGTTTTAAGGATAGATTCTGGATAGATTAAAGACAGATTAAGGATAATCCCTCTATTGATGGATTTTGGATTTTGTCCACTTCTGATGCATTACTAAAATGAACATCCTTGCGCATGCTTGTGAACATGCACAAGCATTTTGCAAAATCGAAGTCGATAAAGAAAATAGGCTAGCACTGTGGCATACTGGGAAAAGCCATCACCTGCAATGCCGGCATCCCATATGGGCGCTGGTTGAAGTCCTGGCTGCTCCACTTCTGATCCAGCTCTAAGCTATGGCCTGGAAAGCAGTGGATCGGCACAGCTCCGGCCATTGCGGCCATTTGCGAAGCAAACCAGCAGATGGAAGACCTTTCCCTCTCCCTCTCTACTCCCTCTCCCTCTCTCTGTAACTCTGCCTTTCAAATCAATAAATCAATTTTTAAAGAAATAAAAGCAATCAAGTACGAATACTTGATACGACCTTAAAGACGAAGGCAAAAAAGAGACAAGTGGGGTCCCATCAAACTAAAAACCTTCTTACAGCGGCGCAACAATCCATCAACAGAGCGAAGGCACAACCCACAGAACAGGAGAAAATATTCACAAACTCTGCCCCTGACGAGGGGGCACAAAGAAGCAATTTCAGCCCAAAAACAGCACCCAAAGGAGTCAGAGAGAGAGCAAGAGCTGTACACAGACACCCCTCGAAGGAGGACACACAGACGCCCAAAGGGACCCGAGCAAAGGCTCAGCACGGCGAATCGCCACGGGAGCGCAGAGCCAGCCCGGGGAGAGAGCGTCTCCCTTGTCAGGTGCAGGAGATAACGCACACCAGCTAGGAGGTGAGGGAGGGCACCCTCGGAGGCTGCGGGTGGGAATCTGCGCAGTCGCGGTGCAAGGCAACACAAAGGCTTCTCCAGAAACTACAGCTAGAACCACCACAGGTGGCCAGTGCCATGGCAGAGTGGGTGAGGCCACTGCCCACAGCGCCGGCATCCCATATGGGCACCAGATCAAGTCCTGGCTGCTCCACTTCCCATCCAGCTCTCTGCTGTGGCCTGGGAAAGCAGTTGAAGATGGCCCAAGTGCTTGGGCCCCTGCACCCGTGTGGGAGACCTGGAAGAAGCTCCTGGCTCCTGGCTTCAAATCGGCTCAGCTCAGCCACTGTGGCCAATTGGAGAGTGAACCAGAGAATGGAAGACCCCCCGCCCTCTCTCTCTGCCTCTGCTTCTCTCTCTGTGTAACTGTGACATTCCAATAAATAAATACATCTTTAAAAAATAAAGAAAGAAACTCAGCCTGCTGCAGGTTTACTGAATTTCTGTCCAGCCCTGCTGAGACCACATGGTTCTGTGTTCCTTACACGGCCTGTGGGCTGAAACCTTCCCAGCCCCGGGACTCCCATGGTAACCGATTTGAGTTCTCACGGCGTGTGCGATGCACTGACACATCATGTGGGACCCCGTCAGAGTGTACAATTTTTATATATCAGCTAAAAAGGTTTTATAGATTTTTAAAAGATTTATTTATTTGAAAGAGTTACAGAGAGACAGGAGAGGCAGAGAGAGAGAGAGAGAGAGAGAGAGAGAGAGAGAGAGGGGTCTTTCATTCACTGATTCACTATCCCAGATGGCTGCAACGGCTGGAACTGTGCCGATCCAAAGCCAGCAGCCAGGAGCTTCCTCCAGGTCTCCCACGCGGGTGCAGGGGCCCAAGGACTTGGGCCATCTTCCACTGCTTTCCCAGGTCACAGCAGAGAGTTTTATGGGAAGAGGAGCAGCCGGGACTCGAACCAGCGCCCATATGGGATGCCAGCACTGCAGGCGTCAGCTTACTCGCTACGCCACAGCGCCGGCCCCCTAAATAGGTTTTAAAAGACTACACTCTCTTTACCTGAAATGTCCAACGCAGAGCAATCTAGAAATGGAGACAGGGCAGTAGCGGTTGCCCGTGGCTGGAGGGTGGACAGGGTAAGGGGAGATGATAACTGCAGGGTAAGAGTTCCTTCTGGGGGTGACAGAAATGCTCCAAAATTGAGCGTGATGCAGAGTGCGCGATCGGAATGTACTAACACCCCCTGAATCTGACCGAAAGAGAATGACCTGCAGCGTAAGCGAATCAGCTCTCGATGAAGTGCTCAACTCTTTTTTTTTTTTTTTTTTTTTTTTGACAGGCAGAGTGGATAGTGAGATAGAGAGAGACAGAGAGGAAGGTCTTCCTTTGCCGTTGGTTCACCCTCCAATGGACGCCGCGGCCAGCGTGCTGTGGCCAGCGCACCACGCTGATCCGATGGCAGGAGCCAGGTACTTATCCTGGTCTCCCATGGGGTACAGGGCCCAAGCACTTGGGCCATCCTCCACTGCACTCCCGGGCCACAGCAGAGAGCTGGCCTGGAAGAGGGGCAACCGGGACAGAATCCGGTGCCCCGATGGGGACTAGAACCCGTGTGCCGGCGCCGCAAGGCGGAGGATTAGCCTAGTGAGCCGCGGTGCTGGCCTCAACTCTATTTTTTTTTTTTTTTTTTTGCCCCAGCCCAATGTATGAACACGCTATTTTCCAGACAGCTCTGACATGCAGGCCTGGGGCTGACAAACTTCCTGTCAAGACCACAAGGCAGGGCTGGTGCTGTGGGTATGGCGGGTTAAGCTGCCGCCTGTGACTCGGGCATCCCAGATGGGCGCCAGTTTGAGTCCCAGCTGCCCCATTTCTGATCCAGCTCCCTGCTGTGGCCTGGGAAAGCAGTGGAAGATGGCCCAAGTGCTCATGCGCTCTCTCTCTCTCTCCCTCTCCCCCCACCCCGTAACTCTGCCTTTCAAATAAAAATGAATAAATAAAACAAGAACCACAAGGCACAAATTCCAGGCCTTGCAGGCCACGCGGTCTCTGCTGGGAACTCCCAACTGCCCGTTCGGTGAAAGCACCTGGAAATGACGGGTAAATGAAAGAGCACTGTCTCTGTGCCAATAAAACTTTATTTGTCATTTGGTCCAAAAAAAAAGAAAACAAGTAGCAGGCTAGCTTTCTGGTCTAAGCATGACAAACCCTGCTGGATTTCACAGCGCACCCTAGGAGGCTGCCGGGGCTGGGGTAGGGGGTGCCGGTACACACTTGGAGCACCCGTGATGGCTCAAGTCCCTGCACCCGCGTGGGAGACCCGAAGAAGCTCCTGGCTCCTGGCTTCGGATCGGCGCGGCGGGTTAGAGGTTCAGCTTGGTCACCTGGCTACACACACTCACCCCTGCTGCGCCCCCGGCCCAGGAAAACAGCGGAAAGAGACGGCCACTCCCGATGTCCCCCGCCCCACCCCCAAACCCCGCTCCTGCGGGGAACCAGCGTCACCGCCTCCCACAGGCCTCCTCGAGTTGGGAGGCAGAGGGGTCGCCCACTTGTTCAGGACAGACGGCTAGACACGGCCAGGAAGCTGCAGCCTTGACTTCTGCCCTGTGACCTTGGCCAAGTCCTGACCCGCGACCCGAACCTGCCCCGTTTGAAACCTCGGCTGACCCTCGCTTCCCTTAGCAGACGCCTCGTGCTCCCATTAACCATGCGAGCCCGGTCCCGCCGCCCGGCCCTCACGCCCAAAAGCTCGCTCTCAGCCCACCCCAGCCCGACGTGGCCCCTCACCTGTCGGCGGCGCGTAGGCCCGGGCCGGGGACCCCAGGGCTGGCCCCGGCCCCACGGGCCGAGTCAGGAGGCGGCGCCCCCGGTCCCGCAGCCGGAGGCAGCTCCTCCACATCGCGCCCCAAGGGCCTCGGGCGCACGCGGGGCGCGAGACCAAGCCGCGCTGTCCGGCTGTACGGAAACCTCTCACGCCTCCCCGGATCCCCTCAGCCGCCTCTGGACGCCGCCATCTTCCGCATGAGCCCTACGGCGCACCGTAGCCGCCGCGCGCCTCCTGCGCACACCGTCCCCGCCCCCGCCGGAGAACCTGCATCACAAACGCTCCTCGCCCCGCCCCTCCTCCGCGCCGCGCCTCCGGAATAAGACTACAATTCCCAGAAGTGCCCTGGCGCTCCCCGCCACGTGTTTTCTCTGCTCGCCAATGGGCGGAAGCGCCGCGTGAGCTTGCTCCCGCCCTCCCCGGCGCTCCGGAGCCAATCGGAAAGGGTGTTGTGTGTGTGTCTCTGTGTGTTGTGTGTGAGTGTGTGTGTGTACGCGCGCGCGCGCGCGTGAGGGCAAGTGGAGTAGTGGGCCGAGCTCAGTACCGGGAGGCCCTGCTCGCAGGGCCCGGGGGCCCGGGGGCCCGGGGGCGGCCGCAGCGCTCGGTGCGCAGCGAGTGGGCGGCCCCCTCCCGCGCCTGCCCCGCGCGTGCGCGCTCGGCCCCTCCCTCCCCGGCACCCTCCTCGGCTCCCGCGCGGCGGCGGCGGCGGCGGCGGTTCCTCTCCCCTCCCCCTGCCCCCCAGCCCTGGCTCCGGGGGACCCCGCGATGCCAGTGCGCACCGAGTGCCCCCCGCCGGCCGGTGCGTCGGCCGCGTCCGCGGCCTCGCTCATCCCGCCGCCGCCCATCAACACCCAGCAGCCCGGCGTGGCCACCAGCCTGCTCTACAGCGGCTCCAAGTTCCGTGGCCACCAGAAGAGCAAGGGGAATTCGTACGACGTAGAGGTGGTGCTGCAGGTGAGCGCCGGCCGGGCCGGGGCCTCCTCGCGGCGCTCACGGGCCGGGCCGGCCCACGGCTCCTCGAGCCCCGCAGAGCCGCGGCCCAGGCCCCGCACCGCCCCGGGGCCTCCTGCACCCGGGACCTGCCCAGCTGGTGTCTCAAAGCTGCGAGCCCCGAGCCCGATCTGCCTGGCCGGGCCCCCAGCACTCTGCCAGACTTGAAACCCGTGACCGGCCCGCCTGGGGATCCGGAAGCCGGCACCCCCCCTCCCTAACCTCCCCAACTCCCTTTGCAGGGCCGGTGGCCCTCTGGCCGGGTCCTCCCGCCTGCTAAGACCCTGAGGGAGCCTCCCCGAGTCTCCCAGACCGAGACCCGCTGTCCAGGGTCCTCCTCTTGGGGCCCTCCTCCTGCTGGAGTTTGCTGCGGGCAGAGCAGGATCTCCCGGTGCAACCCACGACTGCTGGCTGCTCAGACCGGGCACTTTCCGCCCGGGTGCTGTCAGCATCTTGCTTCCTGCCGTGCCCCCCCCCCACCACCACCTCGGCTTCCATCTCCTTGGCCTGGCACCGGGCCGAACCAAGGGCTCCTGAAGACCCTCTCTTGCTTGCTGCCTGCACACAAGCCTCCTCCCAGCCTGGCCCAATCTGACTTCGCGTCCACTCACCTCCCCCTCTTTGACCTGGATTTCTGAGTTCTGCCGCCAGTCCCTGACCCACTTGGGAGCTGCAGTGTGACCTGCCTGGTCCTTGGCGGGTGCCACCCCCTCTCTCACATCGCTGGGAGCACCCCCTCCCCAGAACACACGCTGTTCCTTAGCCTGACACCCAGCTGCCTAGGCTGGACCTCAGAGTCCCCAGACCACCCCCCCAGACACCTGTCCCCTTGACAGCCCTTTCAGATGCCAGGAGGCCCTGTGTGCTTCCTGCTCCCCTGTGAGAGTGATGTGTTTCTCCTGTTGGCCTTGTAACAGTTTTAAATCTTAAAAGGAGGTTTTCCCTTCCCCTAGCTGGAGAGCATGCCTCAATTTTTTTTTTTCTCGTGTTTTTCGGGAATAAACGGTTCTCTCTGGTTTGGATTGGCAGAGCTGCGACCTCCTATCTTTCCTCTATAAGCTTAAAGGTCGATCATAAGCCGTGATGTCTCTGTTGTGAAGGCAAAACGATTGTGGCTGACGTTGTCGGTCCTCGGGACTGTATGTCTGGTCTGGTGGTCTCTTCTGCCTAAGACGTGAGACTGCAGGGTTGTAGGCTTCTGTTTTGTCTTAACTAATGAAATTCAGGATGTCCCTGGCGTGGGACAGGGTTGCAGCGGTCTCTTTTTATTTTTAAATATTTATTTATTTTGAAAGGCAGGGTTACAGAGAGGCAGAGAGAGAGAAAGATCTTCCATCCACTGGTTCACTCCCCAGATGGCTGCAATGGCCGGAGCTGGGCTGATCCAAAGCCAGGAGCCTGGAGCTTCTTCCGGGTCTTCCACGCAGGTGCAGGGACCCAAGGACTTGGGCCATCTTGTACTGTCTTCCCAGGCCACAGCAGAGAGCTGGATCATTAGTAGAGCAGCCAGGACTCGAACTGGCACCCAGCTGGGATGCCGGCACTGCAGGCAGTGGCTTCACCCACTGCGCCACAGTGCTGACCCCTGCTGTGGTCTTGAAGTCTGTGCCTGCTGTTTAATGTGGTGCTTCCTGCTGCGGGAGGGGACAGCCACCAGGGTAGCCAGGTGTCAGAGAGAAGTCTGCAGTGCCCGCCCTCTCCCGCTGGGCGCCAGCCTCCTCCTGGACAAGTGGAAGTGGCCATGGAGTTGAGGCACGGCTGCTGGGTCCCAGGCGACCCAGAGCAGAGTGGACACCTGGCCAGTGGCTGGCAGCCACCTGAGGAGGATGGCCGGTGTGGGGGTAGTGGCCACACCTGGGAAGGCGGCTGCCCCGCCTCTGGGACGGCCAGTCACTCATTCATCACCAGGCCCAGGCCGCGGCGCATGAATTGCCCCACCATCTGGTTTTGCAGCCGGGACTCATCTGCCTGACTCAGCTCTCCCAGGCCTTCTCCTTTCCCAACGCGGCCGCTCTCTTGCTTGGAAGAAACCTTGGAATTCGAGATTCTGCTTCACCTGTGTCGGGGTGCGGTGGGCCCCAGCTGGTATTCTCGCGGAGCTGTGCAGCCGTCACCACAGCTCCGCTTTAGAAAGTCTTCCGCTCCCCAAAGGGAGACTTCATCCCCTGTAGCCGTCACCTCCTTCCAGTCTTCGAAGAGTGGCCCTGCTGGGGACATTCTGTGTACGTAGACTCGAAGCACCACGCGTGTGTGTTCGTGACTGGCCTCTTTAGCGTGATGTTTCCAGGGTTTTGTTCAGACCATAGCGCATGTCAGCATTTCGTCCCTTTTTGTCATCGCGCTGTCACTTAGAGCCATTGTCCACTGACCACTTGATGGACACCTGGGTCGTGTCCAATCTGGCTTTTTTCAATAATGCTGGTGTAACATTGCTACACAGGGTTGTTTGTTTGTTTGTTTGTTTTTTAAGATTTTTATTTATTTATTTGAAAGAGTTACAGAGAGAGAGGACAGACAGAGATCTTCCATCTGCTGGTTCACTCCCCAAATGACTGCAACAGCCAGATCTGGGACCGGCTGAAGCCAGGAGCTTCTTCCAGGTCTCCCACGTGGGTGCAGGGTCCCGAGCACTTGGGCCATCTTCCACTGCTTTCCCAGGCTATAGTAGAGAGCTGGATCAGAAGTGGAGCAGCCGGGACATGAACCAGTGCCCTTAAGGGCTGCCAGCACTGCAGGTGGCAGCTTCACCCACTACGCCACTGTTCAGGCCCCGGGAGTACAGGTTTTTATATGCGGAGGTATGCCTTCGCTTCCCTTAGGTAGACAGACGGCGGGAGTGGGATTTCGGGTCAGGTGGTAACTGTGTAACACTCTGAGAAGTGACTTCTGCAGCAGCCGTCGGACTTCACAGTCTGTCCTGCGGCGTGTGAGGGTGCCTGTTTGTCCGTGTCCCTGCCGGCACCTTTCTTACTGTGGTCCTCCTAGTGGGTGTGCAGTAGCATCTCACTGTGGTTTCTGTTCTCATTTCCCCGATGGCTGCTGATGGGATACATCCTTTTTTTTTTTTTTTTTTTTTTTTTTTTTTTTTTTTTTTTTGAGATTCTGGTCTGTGAGGTTCTCAGTGGGTCTTGGTTCGACCCCTGTCAATGGGACGACTCTAACCTCCGCCATCTTGGTGTTTTGTTTTTGTTGTAAGACTTATTTATTTATTTGAAAGGCAGCACTAGAGACAGGCAGAGAGAGAAAGAGGGAGAGGTCTTCCAACTGCTGGTTCACCCCCCAAATGGCTGCAATGGCCGGAGCTGGGCCAATCTGAAGCCAGGAGCTTCTTCCGGGTCTCCCATGTGGGCACAGGGGCCCAAGGACTTGGGCCATGGGCCATCTTCTACTGCTTTCCCAGGCCACAACAGAGAGCTGGATTGGAAGTGGAGCATCCGGGACTCGAACCAGCGCCCATGTGGAATGCCAGCACTGCTTGCGGCGGCTTTACCTGCTGCACCACAGCGCCGGCCCTGGCTCATAATTGTATTAGCGGGTGTCCCTGCCACCTGCCACCCTCTCGAGCGGCTGTGAAACCCCCAAACTCCATGGAATTCAGGGAGAATCGCCCACAGGACGGGAGCTGTGGGTCAGAGCTGCGGGTGAGCGAGTGTGGCTCAGCTGTTCCAAACGCTTCCCCAGTGCCAAGGTCAGCAGATGACGGTACCTACAAGTGCTCTGGCAGGTTTCGCAGGGAACACCTTTGTCACCAGCACCAAGCCTGGAGGCACCTCGGCGTCCCTGCGGTGCTGGCATCCTCTGGCTGCCCGAGTTCATTGCTGCGTGGAAGCCTAGCCTTAGTGTCTGATTTATGGCATTACCCGGAAGTAGTTGCCGTCTCAGACCTGATAAATGGCACAAAAACTTGTCCAGTTTCTCAGCCCGAGCCCTCACGTGACGTGAAACATCTCAGCGTGTGCTCCAGGGAGCACGGTGCTTTAATCCGGGGGCTTCCTGTGCCAGGGATCCCGCTCAGGATGACGCCACAGGTGCGGGTGTACTATGCGAGTTCAGCCACAAAGTAACCATGCCGGTCTCAGAGCCACTTAACAAGTCACTGGGCAGCCGGGGCTGTGGTGCAGCCGGTTAACACCCCTGCCTGAAGCGCTGGCATTCCATATGGGTGCCGGTTTGAGACCCGGCTGCTCCACTTCCAATCCAGGTCTCTGCTGTGGCTTGGGAAAGCAGTAGAAGATGGCCCAAGTCCTTGGGCCCCTGCACCTGTGTGAGAGACCAGGAAGAAGCCCTGGCTCCTGGCTTCGGATCGGCGCAGCTCCGGCTGTTGCAGCCAATTGGGGAGTGAACCAGTGGATGAAAGACTTTCTCTCTCTCTCTCTCTCTCTGCCTCTCCTCTCTTTGTGTAGCTCTGACTTTCAAATAAAAATAAATAAATCTTAAAAAAAAAAAAAAAAAAGAATCACTGGAGCTGTCACGGCACACCTCGAGGCGTGTGGAGCTGGTGTGGTTGCAGGCTGGCTCCTGGCGGGACCCGCGGTGGGCCCGGTAACCTTCCACCTTCCCTCGCAGCCAACCCTGACATTCCCTGTCCCATCTGTCTCGGTCTCCGAGAATGGACCCTGCACAAATAGCCTCCAACCACCGGGTAGCAAAAGCCCTTCCTTGCTCATGCGCCCCTTTGAAAGCCCTCCATCCCTAACCTAATGGCTCCAAGGGCAACAGGGTTGACCAGGTCTCTTGGGGCGGGGGAGGCCAGCGTGGAAGAAGAGGAAATTGGCTGGTGAGTGGGCATCAGCTGGCGGCTGCCACCCTCAGAATCCACTGTGCCCCTCGCACCTCTTCCTCCTGGGCTCCTGGCTCTCGTCGTTAGAAACACGAGCGTGTGGACAGGGCGGGCACTCACAGGGTGGTCAGGGTGCTTGACTGGCATCTTAGTTTGTGGCTGGCACGTGCTGTGCAACGGGGGTTTGCTAAGAGGCTGCTTGGAGTCTTCTGCCCGTTCATGGGGCGGTCACATAGCACCGACGTGGAAATGGACTAGGGAGAGAAGTGGGCCAGGGTCAGGGGTGGCGGGCACCACGTGCACGGGTGAGGAGGGCTCGTGCCACAGCCTGCAGCCCAGCCGGAGGCCTGAGCAGTCCGTGAGCGGTCCAAGGTCCTCAGGTGCAGGGAGCTGACAGCGTTCTGGGACCAGCTGGCTTTGTCTACAGGCCATTTGGCGCGTGTGTACGGGGGACTCCTGAGGGCCCCGGGGGCTGGTGGGGAGCCTTGGGCTCTGCCGCCTTCCCCAGCCTGGCCTGGCGGGATCTCGCAGCACCGCGGTGTGTGCCCCACTGGATATGTTGTTCATCTGCGTGTCTTCTCTTTGCAGCACGTGGACACAGGGAACTCTTACCTTTGTGGCTACTTGAAGATTAAAGGCCTCACCGAGGTAAGCCCCGGTCCACTCCAACCAGAGCCCGGAAGGGTCCGACTCACCGCAGCCTCACAGGGAGAGGGGCAGGCCGTCCCCACCCGGGACCCGAGCAGAGCACGTGGTCGGTCGCCAAGCACCTGTGCTGCGTGGGGAGCGGGCAGCACCGTGCTCGTGGTGCATCCTGTTGGGAAGTCACTCAGAGGAAGCTGTGTAAATAACGTCCCAGTGTGACCCACGCTGTTGGTTTTGTTTTTAAGTCCTTTGGGGGGGGGGGGGGGGGCAAAGAGTACAAGAACACAGCTACCGCCTTCATCATAAGCCATTTTATTTGGAAGGCAGAGACAGGCAGAGATCTCTCTCCGATGCCGGTTCACGCGCCAAATGCCCACAGTATCTGGGGCTGAGCCAGGCCGAGGGTGAGAGCCAAGAACTCAATCCAGGTGCACCGCGTGGGTGGCGGAAACTCAGGTGTCTGAGCCATCGCCGGCCTTCTCCCAGGGTGTGCAGCAGGAAGCTGGAATCAAAAGCAGAGTCAGGAGCTGAATCCAGGCCCCCGCGCCCAGTATGGGATGTGGGTGTCACAAGTGGGGTTTTTTTGTTTGTTTTTTGTTTTTTTGACAGATAGAGTTAGACAGAGAGAGAGACAGAGAGAAAGCTCTTCCTTCCATTGGTTCACCCCCCAAATGGCTGCTACGGCCGGCACGCTGCACCGATCGGAAGCAGGGAGCCAGGTGCTTCCTCCTGGTCTCCCATGCGGGTGCAGGGTCCAAGTGCTTGGGCCATACTACACTGCACTCCCGGGCCACAGCAGAGAGCTGGACTGGAAGAGGAGCGACCGGGACTAGAACCGGTGCCCATATGGGATGCCAACACCACAGGCGGAGGATAGCCTACTACGCCACAGCGCTGGTCCCTGAAGTTCTTTAAACCCCGTAGTTCACTGGAACCATGAAAGTGACTGGTTTCCAGTCTGCTGTGTAAGAGTAAAGTGTTTTACATTCTTTGAACCAACTTTAAATATGTGTGTGTGTGTATAGTTTTTTTATTTTTTGAGAGAACGAGAGAAAGCTTCCATCCCTTGGCTCACTCCCCGAGTGCCTGCAGCAGCTGAGCCCGGGACGGCAGCAGTAGGAGGCAGGAGCACCATCCAAGGCTTCCCAGTGGGTGGCAGGGACCCCGTCACCTGAGTGTATCCCTTGCTGCCCGCCAAGGTCTACATTAGCCAGAAGCTGGAGTCAGGAGTTGGAACCGGGTATCAAACCCAGCGGTCAGAGCTGTGCCGATCTGAAGCCAGGGGCTTCTTCCAGGTCTCCCACGTGGGTGCAGGGGCCCAAGCACTTGGGCCATCTTCTACTGCTTTCCCAGGCCATAGCAGAGAGCTGGATCGTAAGTGGAGCAGTCAAGACTGGAACTGGTGCTGTAACGGCAGCTTTTACCTGCTACGCCACAGTGCCGGCCCCCAGAAAATTTTTAACTGGGAGATCAATTATGTCTTAAAGTGTGTTTATGTGTCCCCTAGAAAGTAAAACCCAAAGCTGTAAGGAATAGTGTGCTATGCCTACGTTTGGGGGGGGGAGCGCTTTCCTGGAGCCCGCCTTGTGGGAGGGGTCATGGTCAGGGGTGGGATTGGAAGCTGCAGCTGAGGTTGTGCCAGTCTTGCTCAAAGCAGCGAGACTGACCACCCGAACCACACAGCAACCAAACCCACCGGAGACTACTGCGTCACGGGTGCCGGCTCCTCCGCAGGACAGGGAATGGAGTTCTCCTTGACATATCAGCTCACTCAGCGCCCCTCCCTGACAAGCCGGGTCTGCGGGGGAGGCCAGGCAGCCACTGCCCCTTCCGGGTGAGCCCGGAGCCCGTGGCTTGGGCGACCTCAGCGTCTGCCCGTGGCAGGCAAAGCCTGCCTGGGGGATGGGGTTGGCCACAGCACTCCTGGTGCTGCCGCGGGCTCTCCTTGGCTCTGTCAGTCATCCCCAGTTTGGCTGGAGTCCACTGCTTGAATTTCCAGGGCCTGGCCCAAGAAGTACAGTCGTCCACTGGTACCCACGGGCACTGCAGCAGCCGACATCCGCGGATGCTCCAAGCCCTGGTGCCTCTTGCTGTATGCGCCAAGTTCCCTCTAAGATGGCGTGCACCCAGTGCCACGCAGTGCTGTGGGGATAGTTGTATTGTTTAGGAAACAGTCACCAAAAAAAAAAAAAAATCTGTACTTGTTCAGCAGTGCTGTGATTGTGTTGTGTTCTGGTTAAATACTCTGATCCAAGCTTGGTTCACTGCATGGATGGAGGGACACTGTCTATCCTTCTGGTGACTTCTGTGCATTGTTTAATTGTAGAGTTTGGAGGACCTGGGGTGGGGTCACCTGTTAAAACACTACCTGAAGAGTTTGGAAGAGAGACATCCATGCAGAATCACTGGTCGGGGGCCAGCGCTCTGGCATAGCGGGTAAAACCGCCGCCTGCAGTGCCGCCATCACATATGGGCACCAGTTCAAGTCCCAGCTGCTCTACTTCCCATCCAGCTCTCTGCTATGCCCCGGGAAAGCAGTAGAAGATGACCCAAGTCCTTGGGCCCCTGCACCCACATGGGAGACCAGGAAGAAGTTCCTGGCTCCTGGCTTCAGCCTGGCCCAGCCCTGGCTATTGTGGCCATTTGGGGAGTGAGCCAGTGGATGGAAGACTTTCTCTCTCTCTCTCTCTCTCTCTCTCTCTCTCTCTCTCTCTGCCTTTGGAATAAAGACACCAGTGAGCCTCTCAGAAGAAAGCAGGGTGCACTCTCAGAGCCCCTGGCGCTGGGTGTCCTCCCAGAGCAGGCCTTGTCAGCCAGCTGAGGCCCGGCGGTGGCGTCCTGTGTCCTGGAAGCCCCGAGCCGGGGGCTGCATGGTGGCAGCGGCTCCGCGGCAGGTCCTGAGCTGTGTTTGTGCAGGATCAGAGAGGCTTCTGTGGGGCCCGGAGGGGAGACACGGCCGCACCTCTGTGGTCCTGGGGCCCTCGCCTGCAGTTCCCATGCGGGAATCTCAGGCAGCCCACTCCTGAGGAGCTGCAGGGGCGTGGCCAGCCAGGCCCGGGGCTGGTTTGGTTTTTTAGGTGGGTGGCATTGACAAATGCAGAGAAATGGCAGATTTTTTTTTTAATGAGCTTTCTCTTAGGGTGATTTTTCCCCCAAATCTTTCATGCCTGTTCATTAGCACATGAACAAATAGCAAAATAAAATTATGTGTTCTACAAAGCATTTCAAAGGCTAATTAAGCATGGGACAGCTCAGTTATCAGCACTGGGATGCTTCAGGGTCACGGTTTCACGCTGCATACGACAAAATGAACACGGTAGCCCTGGTAGATCTGGCCCCCGGGGTGGGGGTGTCTGCCAGAAGGTGTACCCCCTGGGTTGCGGGGGCGGAGACTGAGCCGGGCCGGGGAGCAGTGTGCTGCTCTCCAGAGAGCTGGACCGGAGGGGCCACAGGGCTGAGCTGAGCCGGGCCGGGGAGCAGTGGGCTGCTCTGGCCGGGGGGAGACGGCCGTGCACGTTGTGAGCTGGGTTTCCCGCACAGGCGGTGAGTGGGCGCGGCCCGCGTGTCCGAGCGCTGGGAAGCCGCACCGGCAGGGTCAGTTCCCTGGTGGGAAGGGTGAGAGGCTCAGGCAGCCCCTGTCCTCATGTCTGGCTTCCACCGTAGGAGTATCCGACCCTCACGACCTTCTTTGAAGGAGAAATAATCAGCAAAAAGCACCCTTTCCTAACTCGCAAGTGGGATGCGGACGAAGATGTGGACCGGAAACACTGGGTGAGTCGCGCTCCGGCGTCCCCGGCACCGCCGGCACACCCTGAGAACTCCAGGCTCCCCATTGTGTGGCTGCCAAGGACAGAGCTCCCTCCGCTCCAGTGGCCACGAGGTCCCAGAACAGCTGAGCCCGCTGCCCCGGGTCCTGCCAGCCTCTCTTCAGAAAGGTGGGCCACGAAGACAGCGGGTTTCTGTTTAACACCAGGGAGCCCAGCATCCTTGCTGTGTGTAGACCAAGCAGCAAAGAGCGAGGCAGCAGCCGGATTCTAGAGCCCCCATCTCGTCTCTGCCCGGTCCAGCGCCCAGCCTGCAGGGGGAGCCCTGGGAGCAGCCCCTCGTCCGCCCTTGTCTCTCCTCACAGGACCGGCTCTGCTCCGACTGCTGGAGGTTTTTTTTTTGTTTGTTTTTGTTTTTGGTTTGAATTTGGAAAGGAACGGCTATGAAATGCTGAGTTTTTATTAGTTCAGTTGAAATTTGAACTTCGTAAAACTTTCTTTTTTTTGTGAAAGCTCCACGTTTTGACTGTTGTAGCAAACGCGCACGGCTCAGTGGGTGCCTGTGCCTCCAGAGATGACAGAGCACCCAAAGGCTCGGGCAGCCCAGGTGGTGTACACTGGTGCATGGCGTCGGCGGGCAGAGTCGGGAGGGCCCCTGGGTGCCATCTGCCCCACACCTGCCCAGTGCAGAAAGGTCTTCCTGGCAGTAAAGCCGGCTGGTGCCCATTCCACTTAGTCTCTCATTTCAAATTGGCCCCGCGAAAGGCCGAGTGTTTGGGGCCCCGCGATGACTCCCTTGTAGCTTAGGCTGGCTGCAAATCCAGCACTTGAAAAGCAACTCTTTAATTTTCCCATCGGCTTCCACTAATATACTGTCTGAGACTCCGGCCTCCGTTAGGCCGGACAGAAACCTTTGGAGTGAGAGAGGGACTGAGAGGCCGCCAGTGGCACTGGCACACCACTGAGTGTGGTTAGGGCGAGGGAGCCGGGCCGGCAGAGCGCCTCCTCCCTGCCGTTCTGGCTGCCCTGGCTTAGCTTGGCATAACCTCCCCAGCTCAGGAGGGGCCCCACGTTCCCAGAGACTCTGTGCTGTGCCTTTGCCTGGGACGTAGGGTGTCTCCTAAACCACCCCCAGTCTCATTTTCCCCCGATAAACTAGAATGAGAGACACATTGTGGTACGCTCTCAGTGGTATTGACACAGTGCTACTACAGAGTCAAGATTCCATGCACAAAGGTACTACAGAAGTGTGTGGAGAAGCAGAATTAAAAGATAAGCTTTGTGGGGGCGCAGGTGTTTGGCGGAGCAGTCAGGATGCCCACATTCTATCCCAAAGTATCTGGGTCTGTCCTGGCCCCACGTCTGGCCCCAGCTTGCTGCTCACACGCACGCTGGAAGGCAGCAGGTGGTGGCTCACGTGTTACTGGGATCGCCACCACCCATTGGGAGATAGGGATGGAGCTCCCGGCTCCTGCTTTGGCTGGGCCCAGCCCTGGCTGTTGGGGGCATTTGAGGAGTGAGCCAGCAGAGGAGGATCTCTCTCAGTCTCTGTCTCTGCCTTTCCAATAACTGAAAGTGAATGAATAAAAGGTTTATTTGGCTCAAAGTTTTTTTATTTTATATGTATTTATATTTATATGTATATTTGAGAAGCAGAAGTAGAGAGGACCCATCCTCTAGTTCATTGTCCAAGGACCTGCGACAGCGGAGGCTGGGCCAGGCCGAAGCCAGGAGCTGGGAGCTCATTGCGTGCCCACCAGACAGGTGGCCGAGACCAGACTACTTGAGCTCCCGCATAGCAGGAAGCTGGAATTGGGAGTGGAGCTGAGACTCTGATAACGGGATGCGGGTGACCCAAACAGCGTCTTAACCTCTAGGCGATCGGCAGCCCCTGTGCCGACAGGCTTTAAACCCCACGTGTAGATTTTTCAAGATGTACATGTTTTTTTCAAGATTATTTATTTGAGAGACAGAGTTACAGACAGAGGGAGAGACAGAGAGATCTTCCATCTGCTGGTTCACTCCCCAAATGGACTCAATGGCCAGAGCTGGGCCGAACTGAAGCCAGCAGCTTCTTCCGGGTCTCCAAAGTGGGTGCAGGGGCCCAAGCACTTGAACCATCCTCTGCTGCTTTCCCAGGTACCTTAGCAGGGAGTTGGATCGGAAGTGGTGCAGCCAGAACTCGAACCGGAGCCCATATGGGATGCCGGCACTGCAGGCGGAGCCCTAGCCTGCTACGCCACCACACTAGCCCCAAGTCATGCATTTTCCATGAACATTTTGAAGCAACCTCATGTTTCATCTACTCAAAATAAAATTATGTGGGGCTGGCACGGTGGCGCAGCGGGTTAAAGCCCTGGCCTGAAGCACCGGCATCCCATATGGGCACTGGTTCTAGACCCGGCTGCTCCACTTCCAGTCTGGCTCTCTGCTATGGCCTGGGAAAGCAGTAGAAGATGGCCCAAGTCTGTACCCGCGTGGGAGACCTGGAAGAAGCTCCTGGCTCCTAGCTTTGGATCAGCCCACCTCCGGCCGTTTTGGCCATCTGGGGAGTGAACCAGCAGTTGGAAGACCTCTCTCTGTCTCTACCTCTCTCTGTAACTCTGTCTTTCAAATAAATAAAATAAATCTTTTAAAAAAACTAAAGGCTGGTGCCGCGGCTCACTAGGTTAATCCTCCGCCTTGCGGCGCCGGCACACCGGGTTCTAGTCCCGGTCAGGGCGCCAGATTCTGTCCCGGTTGCCCCTCTTCCAGGCCAGCTCTCTGCTGTGGCCCGGGAGTGCTGTGGAGGATGGCCCAAGTGCTTGGGCCGTGCACCCCATGGGAGACCAGGAGAAGCACCTGGCTCCTGCCATCAGATCAGCGCAGTGCACTGGCCATGGCGGCCATTGGAGGGTGAACCAACAGCAAAAAAGGAAGACCTTTTTCTCTTTCTCTTTCTCTCACTGTCCATTCTGCCTGTCCAAAAAAAAAAAAAAAAAAGAAAAAGAAAAAACTATATAACAAGAACTACAACTTAAATCTGTTTTTTATGTAAGATGTTTTCTTAGGAAATTAATACGTGATGATTTTTAAAGATTTTAAAAATATAAAAGCAAGAGGAAAAAATACCATCTGTGGTGACAGTACCTAAAGCTAAAACAGTGATTGACCTCTGCCTGAGTCGCTTTTGAGATACGTACATACAGACACATACATATACACAATTTTTTTTTCTTTTTTAAAAAAATAGGATCAAAAGATAACGGTTTTGTTTTGTTTTGTCATCATTTACTCAACTTGAAACATAGAAGTGACCCAAAGAGATCCTGCAGCCGCTGGTTCACTCCCCAAATGACCCCCAGCAGCCAGGCTGGGCCAGGCCTCAGCCAGGAGCCAGGAGCCCCGCCTGGTGCTTGGGCTGCCCTCAGCTACCTCCCAGGCTGCACTGTTAGCAGGGGGCTTGGTCAGAGGTGAAGGCGGGACTAACACTTGGCACTCCGATGCCGGGCGGGGGCGGGGCATCCCAAACAGCCTAGCCCACTGCACCCCAGTGCCCACCCCAGAAGGGTAGAAGTTTGCACCCTATTTCTAGTCTCCTTTTGTGGCTTAGCCAGTTTCTAGCTAAGGCGCTGGCCCAAACGCCCCTACCGCCGTGGGAGACTGTGCTCCGCCGGCCCTCACCTGGGGCTGGCAGGCTCCCAACTCCTCCGCCTGGCTCTTTGCTCTGCGGATTACTTACAGAGGGCTCCTCTTTATTGTTCTTAGCCTGCGTCTGTCTGTGCGGAGGTGCTCTGGGCATGCGTCCCTCCTAGTCCTTTGGCCCTTTGCTGGCCGCGCTCACGGGCTGGAGTCCAGTGCTCTGCCCCTGAGTGCAGGGCTGCGGCAGCGGCTGGAGGGTCTGACCCAGGCTCCCTGGCCATTACTGGGCTTTAGCCGCCCCATCAGGAGCCAAGGCTGCAGCTGACAAGGCTGTGACCAGGTGGGCACCCTGGGCGCCCGCAGCCAGCTCAGACACCAGGGCCCATCACCATTCTCTTTTTGCTTCCAGGGCAAGTTTCTGGCTTTTTACCAGTACGCAAAATCATTTAATTCAGATGACTTCGATTATGAAGAGCTGAAGAATGGAGATTATGTCTTTATGCGATGGAAGGTGAGTTCCCCCTCCCCCGGCCCGTGATCTCTGACGCCTCCTGTGGGCCAGCGCTGGTAATGCACCCCACACGCCTGCTCTGCCCCAGGGCGTGCTCTGGTGGACTGCTGGGTCTCCCATGGCTCTGGTTAGTGGTTGGCTGGTGAACGTTCCTGGGTACACGTGCTGACACTGTTGCATCTTCATCCTCCCCTGCTCTCACCCCAGGAATCCCTTTGAGCCTGCAGGCTGAATCACCCACGTGCACTGTAGATTTGGGGTGGAGCCAGACGTTTCTCTGAGTGTAGTCACCCATTGGACCGCCTTAATGCCATCGGAGTGACTGCTCCCCCCCCCCCCCCCGGCCTCACCACATCCTTTCCCCGGGGCCCTCTGCTCCCCTCCAGCTCAGGAAGTGAGGGACCAGGAATGGAATGTGGGTTTTCCACTCAGCCGCCCTCAGAGCGCTCCGTGTCGGCGCGGCCGTCGCCTGAGAAGTGGCTCTGTGCCCCCTGCCTGGGTAAGCGCGGTCAAGGCTGGGAAGCAAGCTTGTGAAGCTGCACGCAGCTCCCGCTCCTCCTGCTCCCGACCGGGGGAGAACTCGGAGGCCTCACCAGCTCTCGGGCCTGCACCTCAACCAGGGTCCTCATGCACGCCTCCTCTGGGGGAGGGCAGGAGCGTCACTCAGGCCGTCCGTGTTGCCGGGCACAGAGTCCATGCCCAGCCTGCCCCTGTCTAGTGGGACGTGTGCCCGCTGAACCTGTTCAGGGAAGTTTCTTGTGCTCATTTTAAGAACAATTTTTGAAAACTACAATTTTTAGAGGCTGAATAGGGAGGGAGCTGAGGGTCTTAGAATTTTTAAATGGCAATGGAATTGTTCTGTGTCCGAAGGATTTCTTAGGATGACCGACCCGTGGGCCGTGGGCCGTTAACAGCCCCCAAGGCCTGGGGCCTCCAGTCTTTCTGTCCAAGAGAGCAGGGACCGGGACACAGGCTTTCTGCTGGGCTCCAGCCTGAAACCCACACTCGCCTCTTCTCCTGGAGTGCCCAGAGAGGGTGTCCGCGGGGCTGCTGGCAACCCAGCCACCCTGAGAATAAGCTGCAGGCCTGCAGGTGATGGGAACCTGGCCCTTCCAGGCCGTTCCGTCCGTGCTCTCTGAAGACAGACAGCGGGCAGGCACTGGTGTTCCCAGTGTTTGGTACTTGTTTGTTTTAAGGTTGTTTATTCGAAAGGCAGAGCTACAGAGAGAGAGAGCTCTTCCACCCACTGGCTCACTCCCCAGTGGCTGGAGCAGGCAGGGCTGGGCCAGCCTGAATGCCGGAGCCCGGAGCCCTATCCGGGTCTCCCACATGGGTGGCAGGGGCCCAGGCCTCAGGCCATCCTCTGGCGACTCCCCAGGCACATTAGCAGGGGACAGGAGACGGTACCCTTTGAGCGGCTGATTCGCGTGAACTCGCGGTGCAGCTTGCCGCCAGAGACCACGTGCTCGTGTTTTTTCTCTTGCGTGTGTTCAGAGCGCCCCGGTGCTGAGCAGGGCGGCACCGGGAGCGGCAGAGGACGCTGCCTGCTAACGGCCCTGGCCTTCGTCTGCCTGCAGGAGCAGTTCCTGGTCCCAGACCACACGATCAAAGACATCAGCGGTGCTTCCTTTGCCGGCTTCTACTACATCTGTTTTCAGAAGTCGGCTGCCTCCATAGAGGGCTACTACTACCATCGGAGCTCAGAATGGTGAGGCCCCACGGGCCGGGGGTTCCCGCTGGAGGTTGGCTGACCCCCTCACCCCTCCCCACCCCCTGCTCTCCCCGGCTCATCAAACCCAAAGGAAAAATCTCGGCCCGCGTCTGCGTAGGCTTTGCGCTTTATCTGCACGTCGCAGGCCTGTCGCCGTGACCTCAGGGGCTCCTAACGGGCTCGTCCCTCCGCACAGAGCAGAGCAGGCAGGACCGAGAGGCAGTGTCGGGGGAAGGGACTCGTCTCCGACCCCCTGCTGGATGTCCAGCAGGGCTCTGCTCGCTCTCGCTGGCTCCTGTTCTCACTCTTCCCAGGTTGAATTTGTAACTAAGATGTGCTCTAACCCGGTGTGGGCAGCAGGAAGGTGGGTGCCAACCGCCTCTGTAATTCTGCAGCTCTGTTTTGGGACGTGGGTCCTGCACGCCCCTGCTGTCATCCGAGGCCCTGGTTGACAGCCTCCCCTGTGTCTCAGCCAGGGAAAAGGACAGAGCCCTGAAGTGCTGACCTTTGCCACCTTTTGGGATTCCTTGGTAGCCTCCCTGCTGCACTTTTTTTTTTTTAGATTGATTGATTGATTTGAAAGGCAGAGTTACAGAGAGGCAGAGGCAGAGAGAGAGAGAGAGGTCTTCTATCTGCTGGTTCACTCCCCAAATGGCCACAGTGGCAGGAGCTGGGCCAATCAAGAGCCAGGGGCCTCTTCCGGGTGCAGGGACCCAAGGACTTGGCCCATCTTCCACTGTTTTCCCAGGCCATAGCAGAGAGCTGGATCAGAAGAGGAGCAGCCGGGTCTCGAACCGGCGCCCATATGGGATGCTGGCACTGCAGGCAGCGGCTTTACCCACTACACCACAGCACCGGCCCCCTTCTTGCTGTACTTTTGAGCACCTAGCCGTCCCTAGGGGTTGAACCCCTATCCTGAAGCACCTGAAAAGTGTGTTAATCCCTTGAGTCGAGTCCCTGAGAGGGCTGTGGTTTCAATGCCAAACACGCTGCATTTCTCAGCGTAGCCCGTGGTCCCTGGGAACACACTTGGAACTTAACAGAGACTGTGTCCTAAGTTTTGGGTCATACACGTGGCCCCCAGCTTGAGGTGAACTTGCCAGAAAGGGGAAATTAACACAGTGCCAGGGGCCTGGTCTTTGTGTTGACGTCGTGAACCCAGCGCTACAAGGCTTCTCCCGTTAGCAAATAGCACTTCAGCAAAGCGCACCCACAGCCCGAGGTGCACTTGCCGCGAGGCTGAGGGTGGGGGCGCTTTCTCACGCTTCAGTGCCTCCTCTCAATCTGCGTGCTCGGCGGCAGCCAGGTCGCACCTGCGAGTAATGAGTGTGTCGGGCTTGCAGTGACTGCGCGGTTCTCGAGCGAGCGTTAAAGCTTGCCCTAGCCCCTTCTCAGAAAGACAGCAGCGTCGCTGAGCCAGCACTCCTGGGCCGTCCCATCAGGGGCCTCTGGCGCGCTCACGGAGCTGTGCAGGCGCCAGCGTCCGAGCCTTGCCCTGCGCACAAGGGGGAACCCCGCGTACCCCTCAGCCGTCACGCCCAAGCCCGCTACCCCCAGCCCTGGGCCACGCTGCTCCTCCCTCCCTCCCTCCCTCTCTCTCTCCCTCCCTCTCTCTCTCTCTCCCTCTCTCCCCCTCTCTCTCGCTCTCTCTCTGTTCGCCTGTCTTGGTATTTTCTGTAAATGGAATCCCACTATCACTATGTGGCCTTTCGCGTAGCCTCACGCTTGGCTGCAGCCTTGCAGTGCGGGTCGGAACTTCCCCTTCACTGCCGAATGACTTCCCGTTTCTGCACACACAAAGCCCTTCCTCCATCCCGTAAGCAGTGGCACGGGGATGCCGCGCACACGGGGCTGAGTTTCCGCTTTCAGTTCCAGGCCTAGAGCCGCGGGCATGCCAGGGCTTCTGTGTGTAGCGCTCCGCCCCTCCCTGACACCTGCCGCCACGCCTACCCCGGAGCTGCCCCCCACCGTGGGGATGGCCCCCCACCCTGCCACATAGTATCTATTGGCGTATGCCCAATGACTAATGCACACTCCATTCCCGATCCATTTTGGGGTTCTCTTCCTCGCACTCCTGCATGGAACAAGTAGGGGAGAAGCTGACGCCCCAGCTGCTGGCCCTGACTATGCGGGGGCTGTCAGGCCTGTGTGCAGTTGTGTGCCCCTGTTTCTCCTTCCTTCCCGTGACCCCGCATGACCTCCACATGACCATCCACGGGGCAAGCTCTCCAGTGGTCTCCGAGTTTTGTGGGTTTTTTTTTTGTTTGTTTTTTGTTTTTTTTAAGAATTATTTATCTATTTGAAAGTCAGAGTTACACAGAGAGGCAGAGAGAGAGAGAGAGGTCTTCCATCTGCTGGTTGACTCCCCAGTTGGCTGCAACGGCCAGAGCTGTGCCGATCTGAAGCCAGGAGCCAGGAGCCTTTTCCAGGTCTCCCACACGGGTGCAGGGGCCCAAGCACTTGGGCCATCTTCTATTGCTTTCCCAGGCCACAGCAGGGAACTGGATCGGAAGAGGAGCAGCTGGGACTAGAACCGGCACCCATGTGGGATTTCGGCACCGCAGGTGGTGGCTTTACCTGCTACGCTACAGCGCCAGCCCCAGTGGTTTCCGAGTTTAGCACTGTACCTTGGGACGTGGGAGCGTGGAACTGAGCGGTGGGATAAAGCATAGGGTTGGCTGTGTTGAGAACTCTCTGTGTCTGTCCGTGAAGGCTGCAGGGACTTCGCGGTATCACGGACGGGGCTGCAGTGCCACAAGCTGAGAGAGACCTGGGGCTTCGGGCTGCAGCTCCCCTGGGGCTCCCCATCCCTCTCCCCGGTCCTCGTCTCTCTGGGACTGGAGCAGATGGCCTAGAGATGGGTCAACCAACAAGAGGCCAAGAGGGAGCCTCAAACAGCTAGCCAGGCTCCACTGGGAAAGTACGAGGCGCTTCCAGAACCCCCTGGGGAAGACGGTGTTAAAACATAGGTTTATTTTGGTGCCAAATTTTCGAATTCCACTGCATAGGATGAGTCTTCAAACAGTTCATGGAAAAGGTGTTATTACCCAAAAAAGGCAGAATTGTGCCCAAATAAGCTTTCCCACTCAATCCCATTTCCCAGCGGCTTGGGCGGCGCACTCCTCTGGCAGGGCGCTTGGCGGGGCCAGGGGGTAGCCTGGAGCGGCACCCCTGCCCAAGCATGTGGGGTGACGGCCTTGCGTGTGCGTGTCTCCCCCTCCCCCCCCTGCAGGTACCAGTCCCTCAACCTGACCCACGTTCCCGAACACAGCGCGCCCATCTACGAATTCCGGTGACAGCAGGTCCGGCCGGCAACCCAATAAAACTGAACTTGGCAGAAAAGACCTTAGCCAGGAAACTTGTGTCCCTGCCAGACCCAGGAGGAGGAGGAGCGTGTCCCCGTCTCTTCGAGAGCATGGACGAGAACCCACAGAAGCCAAGCGAGGAGCTCGCGCGGGCGGGCAGCGGCAGGCGGGCCGCCGGCCCGGTCTCCCTCCCCTCTGGCAGCCTGGCCTCTGTGTGCTTTTCAGCGACCTTAAACGCACTTCCTTCCCGCACAGCTGACTGCTGCGTCCCGGAAATGCCCACTCCTGCCCGGCCCGGGTCCCCGCCTCCCCCGAGCAGGTCAGCTCCCGCATCGCCCTCAGCCTTGGTGCTCAGTGGTCCCTCCCCACGCCCCCCGCCCCCGTTGCGTGGCCCCGGAGCTCTGTGTGGGAGGAGGAGGGGGAGGATTGGCGAGCTACAGAGTGAGGTGGAGGCCGCGGCTGATGGGATCCGTGCCGGACCTCGTCAGTCTGCGGGGCTCCTGTCGCCTCGTGTGTTGCCGAGGCTGAGCCAGTAGGTGGCTGGCAGGCTGTGGGGGGTGTTCAGGGCGGGGCGGGGCGGGGGTCACTCCATTTACGCCTCCAGGTCCCCTGGCAGGAGCAGGTCCCAGCCCCGCGGCCTCAGCACGCTTGCTCCAGACTTTGGAACTCGAGGGCAATACGAAACCTAAAAAAAAAAAAAAAAAAAAAGAGATTTTTTTAATGACAAAATTATTTTTATTGGTCCCTTGAACGAGGACCCTGTGGCAAATGCACAACTATTCAGAATTACATTTTATCGTTTTCACATTGAAAACAGCAAATGTCGACTTAGTAATTTTTATATCTATATGTATATGTGTACGTATATTTAAGCAACCAGCAGTTTTGAGAGACGCGTGGTCCCGGTGCAGGCATCACACGGCATCGGTGAGACGACAGGGCCGGACCCCAGGGCCCGTGCGGGGTGGGGTGTGGGGGTGCAGTTTAGCATCTGTAACCTCTTCCTTTTGCCACTCAGAACAACAGTGCGACCTTTTCCCCACGAGGCACTAGGGGGTCGTCCCCCCAAAACACGGGCGCTGAAATGTCGGGGCATGCAGGGCGGGGTAGCGGGGGTCGGGGAGGCGAGAACACACTCAGATAACTCAAGGCTCACGTGCCAAAGTGTGTGTGTGCGTGCGTGTGTGTGTGCGTGTGAGCTTGCGCGTGTGTGGTTTTCCGTTTTGTTGTTTTTCTTACATGTTTGAAAAGCTTCCTAGGTTGGCATTGGTCTGTAGCCCGCAGGTATGGGCGGGGCTTTGGGGATCGGCATTTTTCTGAAGGTTTACAAGACTTTGAATCCAAGAGGAAAAGCTTTAAAAATCAACGTCAGAAACCCCCACCACCATGCCCACCACCTCGCAGGAGTGACGTTGGCCAAAGGGCAGGGCGAGAGGAGGCGAGGCGGCGAGGGGATGCCTGGGGAACGGGACTTCGCTGTGGGTGCCTGGCGTGCTGTGTGCTCCTGAGACCCAGGCCACGGAAGCCTTCGAGGAGCTAGCCAGCAGGCACCCATGACACCCGTGTGCGGTCCCAAGACTGTGCCGAGGTGCGGCTCCCCCATCCGGCGAGGTCCGGGCACACGGAGAAATGACGTTCACCTTGAGACTGGACGAGGCCTGGGTGGCCAGCCCTGGCAGGGGACTGCGACTGTGACGGCACCAGAAGAGGAAAGGCGGCCGAGGGCTGCTGGGAAAACAGCATCCGCACCTCGCCAGCCACCCCAGAAGGAGCTGGCCCCGAGGGGAGGTAGCTAGCCCAGTGCACCAGGGGCCCATCAGACGTGGCTGTCGTGAATACAGGGCCGCCCCACCTGCCCCCTGCTGTTGCCCGAGGCGCTGTCCCAAGCCCCTCCCGATACGATGTGCAATATTGATGGTTGACACTTGTCTCCACCACTGGGACGTGAGTGCAGGTTGCCTCCCCCCCACACCCCATCTTCCTCCACCCCACGCGGGCTCGCGGCCCCCTCTGCCTCCCCAGCCCCCAGCCACGGACCCTGTCCTGTGCAGGACTCGCCCTGCCAGCACCCTCCTGCTGAGGTTTCGCAGTGCAGGGGTCAGGAGCCAGTGCCCACTGGAGGCAGGACACCCAGCTGTCTGTCGCTCTGGGGCAGCGAGGGCGGCCCCCATGTCTCTGCTTTCGGAAGCAGGGAGTTTCTATTCTCTCCAAGGCCTTGAATTGATTTTTTTTTTCTCCCTTCATCAAATAGTCTGATAAGCTAATTTTTAAAAAGAAACTCCATTAAGTACGTTGCATTGTGGTTTAAAATGACTAACGAGTTCTGGGAAAGCAAAGTAATATTTGATTTTCAACTTTCAATGTTTTTAAGACTTAGATTTGAACCGGGCACAAAGTGTGAATATTTTGTTTTCTTTACGGAGGACGTGTGGGGACCGGGCGTGAGGGTTGGGGATGGGAGAAGTATTTTGCAGAGTTATCAATGTCCAAATAATTTTTAAAGAAAAAAATAATAAAGGTATTTAAGCAGTGAGTCGGTTCGGTCTGTGAGTCAAAACCGTACCCCGGTCCAAGGACAGACAGCAGGCCTCGCCTGGCTGCCCAGGGCCTGCCTGGGGGGTGGGGGCTGGGAGTTGGGGGGAGCCCCTCGCTCTCGGTCCTCGGACACTCAGCACTTCGATTCGAGCTCCATCTTGTTCCTTCCTGATTCTGCTGGGAACCGCGGAAGCCTTTCTCCTTTCCTGCCTGAGTGCAGAACTGGACACCTTGCAATACAGAGAAAAAACTGCAAGCCGGAGCTGCCTCGCGGCCATCAGCCCAGAAAGTCCACTATCAGGGCAGGTGACGCGGCCAGCGGGTGGCCCTCGGCCACCCTGACCACCGTGGGTGCTCCTCGGGATGCTCGCGACCTGAAGCCCGCGCACTGGGGCCTGGGTCCCTGGAGTCCCCTCTCCCCGGGCCGAGGTGTCTAACTCAGCTCTTGTACTTGTTAGACCCCTCCTCCCTTCCCTCCTTTCCCAGGAAACCTCATCACTTTACGTGGGGGCGGGGGGGGGTGTTGTTGAAAGCATTGAAAACACTTTGATCTTTAGCCACTTGCTAGGCTTAAGGGGATTCACACCCCTGAGCCGGCAAAGTGTCATCCGATCTCAGGTTTTATCAAGAATAGTAATAACCCTCCATGTCCGGGAGACACTGGCAAGAACAGACTGTCCGCACTGCTGGACGCATCTCTGGAGGCACCTGTTGGCTGGGTGGTTGTGGGGAGCCTGGCGCTCTCCGTCCACCTGTGGGTCCTCAGAGCCCCCCCACCTGGGAAGAACCAAGAACAGCCTCCACCTGGGCCAGAGAGCCAACGACTCGAGGAGATGATGCTGAAAGCATTTGTCAGATGCAACAGACCTGTAACGTGTATTCTCACTCGGGCAGGCATTGTGGCGGTGGTGGGTTAAGCCGCCACCCGCAATGCCAGGATCCCACGTGGGTGCCGGTTCGAGTTCTGGCTGCTCCACTTCCGATCCAGTTCCCTGCTAATGTGCCTGGGAAGGCAGCAGACCACGGCCCAAGTCTGCACCCACATGGGAGACCTGGATCGGGCCCCTGGCTATGGCTGGGCCCAGCCCCAGCTGTTGGTGGTCATTTGGGGAGTGAACCAGCGGATGGAAGATAGGTCTCTCCCACTCTCTATAACTCTGTCTTTCAAATAAAATCTTAAAAAAAAAAAAAAAAGACACCCGTGTCTCATATCAGTATGTCTGGGTCTGAGGCTCCTGCCTCCAGTTTCCCAACAGAGCAGACGCTGAGAGAACACAGTACTAGCACAAGGAACTGCGTTCCTGGCACACATGGGAGACCTGGATGGAGTGTTCAGCTGCCAGCTTCAGCCCTTGGCTGAACCAGTAGATGGGAACTCCCTCTTTGTCATTCTGCCTCTCAAAAAAAATAATAATAGCTACTTTTTTTTTAATAGTTATTCCCATTTAGTGCTGAAAAAATATAAGAGCACTACCTTGGAAAATGGAACTTAAAAAGTGTATTTTGGGGGCAGGCATTTTCTTTCTTTTTTTTTTTTAACATATACTTAATTGAAAGTTACACAGAGAAGGAGAGGCAGAGAGAGAGAGAGAGAGGTCTTCCACCTGCTGGTTCACTCCCCAATTGGCTGCAATGGCCAGAGCTGTGCCGATCCAAAGCCAGGAGCCAGGAGCTTCCAGGTCTCCCACATGGGTGCAGGGTCCCAAGGACCTGGGCCATCTTCTACTGCGTTCCCAGGCCATAGCAGAGAGCTGGATGGGAAGTGGAACAGCCGGGACACGAACCGGTGCCCATATGGGATGCCGGCACTACCGGCAGCGGCTTTACGCACTGCACCACAGCCCCAAAATAGGCATTTTTATAGACTCCTTCATATGATTGAATCTCAAAAAACTTTTGCACCAAATGTATTTTTTTTAAAGATTTATCATTTGAAAGGCAGAGAGAGAGATTGATTCTATCCACTGGTTCACTCCCCAAATGGCCACAGCAGCCAGGCTGAAGCCAGGAGCTCCATGTGAGTCTCCCACGTGGGTGTCGGGGGCCCAAGCACTCGGGTCATTGTCCTGTGCCTTCGCAGACGCATTAGAGGGAGCTGGATCGGAACAAGAGCAGCCAGGACTCAAACCGGCACTCAGATATGGAATGCTGGCGTCACAGGTGCCACAGTGCCAGCCCCAGATCCTACCGCGCTGATGCACCTTCCCGTTCCCTGAGGCTTGCTGCCTGCCACGCATCATCCCAGGAATGAGAGAGGATGCAGAAGCCAAACACAACGCTGCCTTCAAGGAACGAGTAGTCGAGAGCAGAGAGCAAAAACCCTCTCCTGCATGTCAATCCTGAGTGTCTCCACTTAGCAGTTCGCCTTGTTTTTGGCCCACCCGTAGGAACAGTAGACAATGTATCGATTTCGTGAAGTGTGAAAACACCTGGGATGCAAGAAACTCAATTGTGGGGAGCAACCCGGACTAGACTAAGTTACTGGAATTAAGACTTATTCTATGCATCTGCTCTCCCACAATATGGAGCTGGGAGAGGAGGAACCAGCTTCTACACAGCTGCCTCCAGTTCAGCCAATAAACTGTAGGACCTGCTCCTGATTGGAGGAGAGCAGCGTACTCGGCGTGTGGGTAGCAGAGTTGGGATTGGTGGAAGAGGACTATAAAGGAGGAGAGAGACAACATGCACCAGGAACATCTATCTGAAGGAACACCTGTGCAGCCCCCAAGAGAGCCGGCCGGGTGTACCGCTCCCCCGCGGAAGTGGGGAAAGTGGCAGGGGGAACCGCCCTTCCACGGAGGTGGAAGGGACGGCAGCCAACCCGGGAAGAACCAGCAGCAAACCCGGGGAGGGCCGAGCAGACAAAAGAACAGCGCAGGGTCCTGTGTGGTTCCTCCACGAAGACGGGGAGCGACACTCAACGCCTGCCCGCTCTTCTCCAATCAGCTGCACCTGGGAAGGAAAGTGTTGAAATTGCTCCATAAGGAAAAAGGCAGCTGGCTTTGACACCAAAAAAAAAAAAAAAAAAAAAAAAAGGAATGGAAAGGACTGAAAATTTCATTGCAGTTGAACAGACTTTTCTTCCAAAACAACTCAAGACTGAAACTCCCTATTTGGACAGAGCAGGGGAAAATATGCAAGGCTTTTCGTGGGTAGAAGAAGCGCGTGCTGGATTCAAGTTTGAACGACTCATTTTTTTTCCTTTCTCACGTCTCTTGGCTGGATCCAACTGAGAGCATTCGTCATCAGCCGTCTCCCTAATTCCTCACCGGCGCCTGCTCTGTCTGCCTCCCCCAGCTGCCAGGACTTGGAGCAGAGCGTCTGGAAGTTGATTTTAAAATGCTGAAGCCCAGGGGGCCCAGCGCTGTGTGGGTTAAGCCATCGCCTGCAACGCCCGCATCCCATATGGGCGCCAGATTGAGTCCCGGCTGCTCCACGTCCCATCCAGCTCTCTGCTATAGCCTGGGAAAGCAGAAGATGGCCCAAGTCCTTGGGCCTCTGAGCCCACGTGGGAGACCTGGAAGAAGCTCCTGGCTCCTGGCTCCTAGCTTCGGATTGGCCCAGCTCCGGCCATTGCAGCCATTTCGGAAGTGAACCAGCAGATGGAAGACCTTTCCCTCTTTCTCTCTCTGCCTCTCTCTAGCGCTGCCTTTCAAATAAAGAAGTCTTACAAAAAAAAAAAAAAAAAAAAAAAAAAAAAAACACACACACCAAGATGGCGGAGGTTAGAGTCGTCCCATTGACAGGGGTCGAACCAAGACCCACTGAGAACCTCTCTCTCTCTCTCTCTCTCTCTCTCTCTCTCTCTCTCTTTCTCTCTCTTTCCCTCTCTTTCTCTCTCTTTCTCTCTCTTTCTCTCTCTCTCTCTCTTGGAGAATTGAAGACAGGAGTGGGGTCATCTGCTTTTGGCTCTCACAGGTCCTGCTGGCTGCCAGGTGGTGGATGGACGAGGAGCAGACCAGAGTACGGCAGGGAGGGCTGTGCAGACGCTGCTGCCGGACCGGGGGGAGGGGCTAGGGCCACGGCAGAAGTGGTGAGGCTTGGCTTCCTCCATCTGCATGTTCTTTTATTTGTTTAAATAGGTATTTATTAGTATTTATTTGAAAGGCAGAGGCAGAGACAGAGATATCTTCCATCCACTGATTCACTCCCCAGATGGCCGCAATGGCCGGAGCTGTGCCGATCTGAAGTCAGGAATCAGGAGCTTCTTCGGGGTCTCCCACATGGGTGCAGGGGCCCAAGGACTTGGGCCATCTTCCACTGCTTTCCCAGGCCATAGCAGAGAGCTGGATCAGAAGAGGAGCAGCCAGAACTGGAACCGGCACCCATATGGGATGCCAGCACTGCAGACCATGGCTTTACCTGCGACACCACAGCACCGGCCCCCATGCTTTTATTACTTTTTTTTTTTTTGGTCAGTTTTGGCCAACATCCAAAATTGTGTATTTATTTATTTATTTTCATTGTATTTGAAACGCAGAGAGAGATGGAGAGAGTCTTCCATCCACTGTTTCATTCCCTCAAATGCCCACAACCGTCATGGCTGGGCCAGGCCAAGGCAGGAGACCAGCTCTCCATCCAGATCTCTCACTGGGGGTGGCAGGGGCCCGAGCACTGGAGCCGACACCTGTTCCCTCCCACGGTCAGCGTCAGCAGGAAGCTGGATCAGAAGTGGAGTCGCCGGAGGCTCAAATCAGATCCCGCTGGGTGTCCCAGGAGGCGAGGTAGCTGCTGTGCCAAACACCCACCTGTAGGGGTCACTCTTGATGCCGTCTACAGGTCTGGACCAAGGAAAGATGCTGTGGAGGCTGTTACGCATCACACAGAGTAGTGCCATTCACTGCCCTAAACACCCCCTCCCCCCAAAAAAACCCCCATGCTCTATCCGTCCCTCCCCCCTCCCCTCCCCCCTCCCTCCCCTCTCCCTCCCGCAGCCTCTGATCTTTCCGCTGCCTCCACAGCTTTGCCTTTCCCAGGAAGCCATAGAGTTGGGATCAC